TGGCATGACAGGGTGCCCTGCTAGAGCGCCGCAGGAGTTCTGTCTCTCAAGGAGTTCTGTGGTGTAATGAGGGAGACAGGTAATCAGGTGATTGCAACACCGGGCAGAGGATGCTGACTGTAAGCCAGTTGCTGGAGGGACACCAGGGTGGTTCCGTGTGACCCCCAGGACCCCACACTGCATAAAGGACCCACCCGCCTGATTTTCCAAAGACCCAAGAATGACTCCAAAACACAAAGAACAGAAAAATCTCCCTCCTGCCCTGAATGGGCTCAAGAATCCAGAGGAGTTCTCCCACCCAGAGTGGTTTGCAATAATCAATCTACAGACGAGAAAAAAATCAGTTTTTGTTTCCAGGGCAGGATCTGTCCCTAAATTATTTTCTGAGTCACAGTTATTTAGAGGAGGGACTGAATTTTGTCCCAAAGTTTGCTTTTCTAACCTCTGCTCTCTCTTGGATGAGTGCCATGTGATTTGTCATGATTGGCGGGGAATCATCCACAGAAAGGAAGACTCCCTGTCTGGCATTCGAAGCCTGGGCTCTGTGATAGAAATATCCAACTGCTGAAGATCATCCAGTCCATCTCTCTCCCCATCTGGCATGCACAGTTCCAGAAACTGGTCGAGGTCCAACTACAGGAAGGAACAGGCACCTGCACATCAGCCTGAGTGAGGGCGTCCCAGAGATTTCATGCTTCCAAAGCCTTCTCCAGATCTCTGCACGAGCAGCTTTGCTGAAGGAAAGAGGAGCTGTGGCTTTGCATCCCCACACCCTTGAAGGCACTGCTGTGTGCAGCTCATGATTGCTGCTGGGACGCAGGGAACCACAGGTCATCAGTGGATCCCAGAGCCGCCCAAGGGGGGTCATGGCTTTGGGTGGGAAGCAGCCCACAACGTTCACACTTAGGACCCTTTAGAAATAGATCCTGTTTCACTCTTCTCAACCAGTGTTTAAACATTGGGTAAGGTTTTTCCTTGAGATACTCCACCTGGACCGCTCTGCATCAGTGAGGTGGGAGCAAGGTGGGAGCTCACAGCGGGGTCTCAAACTCGAGCTTGGCTTCCTCACACAGGCTAAACAGGTCTTATAACCTCTCTCAGATGGACTTACCTAGCAAATCCTTTCCCCTTTAAATGCAGAAAGCTAAAGTTAAGTTCACGGATCAAAAATGTCCAACTAGTGGGTAAAGGCTTAGTTGTGACTTGGCCACAGATTAAAACCAGATCTTGTAGGAATCTTGCTGGGCTCCAAAGAAAAACATCTCTTGCTAAAAACAGTCGGCCCCTTCATGTTTTAGATGATGTAGATCACATTATACAAAGTTACGTGGAAAAAATGTGAATAGAAGGGCAGACATCAAAGTTTAGCTGTTCCGGTTGATTTGAGCACAGGAAGTGTAGTCCCCGAGTCACGGACAGTTCCAGGCAGGGCTCCCACCCTCACCCATAACAGGCACCAAAGTCAGGATGCATGTCCCATTTCTGACGTCTGGTGGGAACAGGGGGGCATTGACTGGTAAGCCAACATTGGCTTAAACCCCCAAATACAGCTCCTCATAACCGCCTGGGCCACTGACTGACCTTCTTACTCAAATTAAAAGTACATGGTTCTCAAGGTTACTGAATGTCCTGGCCAGGAAGAGCACTCCTGAGTGTAGAACATCGCTGCTTTGTGCCCTGCTGTCCCTAAATCTGTGAGCCACCCCAGATCTCAGGGGGGCCTTGCTGACATGCCGCGGACACCTGTCAGTCCCCAACAGCAAGCCGCCCTTGCTGTGCTCATGCGTAAGGAGTGCTCAGGGGAGCAGAGGGCATGGCACAGACCCTTGTGACACACTGTGCTTTCTAAAGCTTATGAGAGCAGTAGTTATACTCTTGTTTTTTTTTTTCCCCATGAAAAATCCTAAATTTGGGCAGTTAAAGCATTAAGAACAAAAGATACAAGATTCTACTGACCAACCATAGAGAGTCATTACTGATCTCTTCCCTGTATATTTATAGGAAATGTGACATATATTTATAGGAAATGAAACATGGAGGAAAGTGGCTATTTTACAAAAAACACTGCAGATTAATATGATAATTGGACATAACAAACTGAATGTCGGCAAACATTCTGGAAAGATGCGTAATGGTATAATGGGTATTTGAACACGATAGTTTCTTTTGCATTAAAAAAAAAAAAATCCCCTCCCGATTTCAACAAATTTCTAAGTTCACAGCTGTGCCTGAATTTTATGAAAAAAATCTAGTTAAGTCTTTTGGATGTTTTTTTACATGGATGTAATCTTTTCCTTCTAAAATGACTCTGCTCATTAAAGAGAAAAGACACAGCTATTTTCAATCATGGTTTCCTCGTATTTCATTCAGAACTGTCCTAACCACCGGAGGAAAGATGGTTTCCATGGGAGACCAGGTGAATCAGGACTATCACCCGATCTTCTGTAAGACCTCATCTTCAAACCACCAGCTGCAATAGTTTCAAACCCAGAACGATGAAGGCTGCAGCAGAGGGTGATAAAGAAACTGCAGAGAACAAGAGCGGAGCGCCGCCTCGGACAACAGCGGTTCAAAGCGGGGAATGAATGCGTGCGGATACAGCCTGCGACTCTTCACTGACGCGCTTTGTGCTAGTGGCCTGTCCCGCTTTTCCATCGACTAGAGATGGAAGAGGTGACTCTGTAGGGAAGAAGTCACGGATGAATCTGGGAACGTGGGCTCAAACCTGAAAGTACGTTTTGTCACAAATACTGCCGAGCAACAAGTACTTCACAGGGAAAGCGTTCTTTACTCATGTGTAACTCAACCGCTTACCTGCTTTACCATTATCCACAAGGGGACCGTGGATGGAATTTCTCTGTGAGACAAAACGAAAATAGGGGCCCTTTGCTGCCCAGTAATGAGAAATTAAAAAAAAAAAAAAAAGATTTCTAGTTCCAGCTACCAAACTCTTTAAGAAATTCCTGCATGAAAAATATAGGCAGTTCAAAGCCCCAAATCGGCAGATGTAACCCACCTGGGTTTACAGCTACACTCAAGTGTCAGGGTAATGAGGCAGAGCGGAGGAAAGACGGGCCCACGGCTCCTGGAGCCAGAGCAGGTGCGGCAGGCTGACTGTGGGGCTGACCAAGGGATTGGGGGACAGAGGACCCTCCCTCCTTGGCTTCCCTGACAGTCTTTCAGGGAGACTGTTCAGAAGTGTGTCTCAGATCATCCTTAAACTCAGTCTGTATCCGTGCTACCATAAGGCTGCTTTGGGTCACCACACTTCACAGTTACAGGTTTTCACAGGAAAAATAAGGAGTCCTATTTTCAAACATTCTCTCACCTGCCCTCTTCCTCTAACAGAGCCGAGTGCACTGAGGATGGACACAAAGTCCCACACTCAGGGTGGGAGGGCTAAGCCACTCCCACAAGGTGCTCAGCGTCCACACCAGGCCTAACAGGTGGGTATCCTCCACACTGCGTGAGGCTCGGCAGTGACGTCTGAGCCACGTGTTACTTCTGTCCCCAAGAGAACAGACAGAAGCACCGCTCGGTTCTCCCCTTAGAGCCTTCAGACAGGCAGGGGTTGTCCGGAGGCTCTCAGTCAGCCTCTGAACAGCTTAAAACCCTGTGGGGGAAGAGCAGTGGAAGGAGCAGGGATGTCGTGGGAGGACATCTCCAGGGATACCGCGTGGCAAGATTGGAGGTGTGTGTTTTTGCTGCAGACAGTGGAAGGACCAATGGGTAGAAAAGCCACAGGACAACAGACTGCAGTCAGCAAGCGAGTCAGGTAGCGAGTCCCTTGTCACCGAATAATGGAGAAGCCAGAAAGCTACTTAATAGAAATGTGGGTTGGAGTCAGGAAAGCATAAGGTCCTTTCCAACTCCTGACAGCTTTCTTTAGGCCCTAGAATAATCGGATCCAATTTGGAAAACAATTTTCAGAAAATAAGCAATATGGCTTTTGGAAAGAACGTTGTTATTAAAAACATTTCCAGGGGCTCCTGGGTGGATCAATCAGTAAAGCATCAGCTTTCGGCTCAGGTCATGATCTCAGGGTCCTGGGATCAAGTCCCGTGTCTGGCTCCCTGAGGGAACCAGCTTCTCCCCTGCCTGACATTCCCCTGCTTGTGCTCTTTCTCTCTCTCTCTGTCAAATAAATAAGTAAAAATCTTAAAACATTTCCACCCACTCTCTTGGGAGGACAAAAATAGAGGCAGGAACGTGGGTGCAGTGGCACAAGGAGGCCACCTGCCCTGTATCTCGGGCCCCAGACCGATGGGATGTCAGAGGGGGTGGAACTTCATGGGGCACCCTCACCCTGGAAGCTTCCAGGGCCCACGGGCTGTCTACCCTGTGCCTGTCCATGTGTGCCTGACCCCACTAAGTGCGGCGCTGCTCCTCTCTGGGCATAACATACGTGAGGAGAGGACGGCATAACATACGTGAGGAGAGTGACCAGACATAAGACCTGAATACTGTGCTTTTGGGTCAAAGTGAGTCACTGGCTTCATGAAAGTTCTACTCATGCAAACAGGCAGAAAGCACCATTAATATGCATGGCAATTAATAAAATTTTAGTGTGTAGTTCCTGGATCCCACCAAAGTGTCTCTATCACAATCAGTGTTTATCTTGGGCCATCGGAAGTCGGAATGACTGCACCCCAGTCAGGGTATCAGGTGAGCAGGGCGGCCAGAGAGACCCCACGCTTCTGGAAGCTTCTGACTCTGCACCTGGGGCTCACTGCTACTGCACAGCAAAGACGCCGGCCAGCACTCAGCAAGCTGGGTATCAAGGTAAAAAACAAAAACAAAAACAAAAAAAACACCTGTTCGAATGTTGTACTTTTTGAAAATATAAAATCCAATCATCAGCCAACACTCATGGGATATGTTTGTTGACTATTCATACAGGATATGAAAATACCCCAGGATTTTTAATGAAGTGAAGCCCATTCCCTTTCCAAACTTCTGGATTTCATTTCCATTTCAAAGGAACAATTGAGAGGCACCGATTTAGAATTTCAACACTGTATTTATTAGAGTGTTTTTATTAACAAACTTTCACTAGAAAGTTCTGAGTGTGTCAGTGCAGGGGGCATGCTGGCTTCACACTCCAGCATCTGATGGCCTGCACACCCGCACGTCACCTGGACCCCTCGGCCACAGCTCTGGGGGTCATTAGGGCAGCACCGGGAGTCCCCTGTGCAGTGGTTAAACACGGGTTTTGGTTCATTCTGATTTAAATATTCGGAGTCCTGTGACAGGCATGGCTCAGCTTTCCTTTCTGCCTCATCTGCCGGACCCCCCGGACCCAAGCCCTTGTTCCTGGCCCCTCTGCTGCCCTCCACGTTCCTGAGGTCTCTGTCTCTGGATAGTCCCCTTTGGCTGTTCTCGGGATCACAGCTGCGTTTTTGTAAAGACCCGGGGCTTCTGTGGACAAAGGATGGAGGCTCTGGGGTCTGTGGACCGGGCTCCTCTGTGCCCTGGACACCATGGACACTGGCCTTGCCGACTTTCTCCTGGACCTGCACGTGCTGCACAGGGTGGATAAAGAGGCCTGTGGGCAGGGGGGTCTGCACTCCCAGCTGTCGGGCTCTGCCCTGCAGGCAGGGGCAGTGGCGGATGTGTGGGACAGCGCATACAAAGCCTTCGGGGGCTTTCTGCACGTGCACAAAGTTGCTGGCGGCAGCGCATCGGGGGCACAGGCCATCGCCTGCCTGTGCACAAGCATGCGGGCTGGGGCTCAAGTGTCTGTAGGCGTTTGGGCAATGACACCGCTGATTCAGAGAGAAGAAGTGACACAGGGTGTGCTGCTCTAGAGCGGGCGGGAAGGAGACGGGGCTGGTTTCCTGTTTGGAGCTCGGACTGTAAGCGGCTTGCACAGGCAGCCCCAGACTCTTGGCCTGGCTGCTGAAAAACTCGGAGCAGATGTGGGTCTCCTCATAAGCTGCCTTATCAGATGTGGAGCAGCTGTGGGACGCCAGGGGCTCTAACTCGTAAAACTCCTGCTCCACGTCGGATTTCTGGGCCCTGGGGTCAAAGTGATAATCACTCACGGCACGTGCTTTGCTCTGTCCCTTGTCAGCAGGGGTTGCGGACAGGGCGTGAGAGAACGCACTGCACTGCAGCTTCCTGGGCAGTGGAATCTGCCCACAGGTGCCCTGCGGCCCGAGGCAGCGGCACATGCACTGGAAAAAGAAGGTGGCAAAGGCCCAGCTGATGCACATGATGAGCATCATGAAGGTGCCCAGCTGGGTGTATGCCAGAACTGTGGATGGCATCATCATGGCCCCTGCCACAAAGGTGGTCAGCGCAGCCATAGCAATGGCAGAGCCCATGCGGCTCAGCGAGAAGATCACCTTCCCCTCCCGGTCAGCGTCTGGAGCCAGGCGGTAAGCGACCCCGTAGTGGACAGCAAAATCCACGGATAGGCCGACAGCCACCGAGATGATGACAGATTCCAGGACGTTCAGCTCCCAGCCCAGCAGGACGAGAGAGCCGACAGTGACGAATATGGTCCCGGCAATGGAGATGATGGCATACAGGCTAATGATGACATTCCAGGTGGTGAGCAGCATGACGCTGAAGGCCACAGCCACGGACAGCCCCATGGCAATGAGTGTGCCGTCGGAGAGGCTGTCCTGGAGGTCATAGAACTCCAGGTTGCTGACGAACCAGCCATTGCTGAGGCCCTCGGGGGCTGAGCTGAGCTCCCGGGAGATCCACGCGTCCACCTCCTTGTAGAACTGGTGCATCTTCTCATAGGCCAGTGTGAAGAGGTAGGTGCTCTGGAACTCCAGCACGACCGCCCGGATGGTATCGTTGACATCGAACCGCGGCCCTGGGGTCTTGCTGTCCAGATGGTAGCCGGTACTTCGCTCCAGCTCCATTATGGCCCTCTTGATGCACAGCTCGAAGATCTCCTGCTTGTAGGGGAAGCTCCAGCGACGGCAGCACAGGTACAGGGCAGGCTCGTCACAGTCCTGGTTCTCCATCCACTGCTTGAATGTCTCGATGAAGCAGCTGGTGAAGTCCTGCTCCTCCGTCTGGTAGAAGAAAGTCTGGTTTCTCAGCTTCTGACAGAAGTGCAGGATCCAGACCTGGGAAGCCGGGCTTGCGATGTTAAAGCTGCCATCCAGCACAAGCTTCCCCTTACTCTTGGGGTTCAGGGGGTCTCCGTTGTCTTCTGGGGACACGCCCCAGACCACGGTGATGGGCATGTGCAGCTCCTCCCCATGGTGGACACGCTCAAACATGAAGAGCTTCTTGTACTCGGCATCGTAGCGCTCAAAGGGATGGGAGGGCCTGAAGAGCTGAAACTCGGACAGCTCCAGGGATGGCAGCTTCATCTTGGGGTTCACACACACAACATAGGCCCCGCCCACGGTCAGGGCCAGGAACCACAGCAGCCAAAGGTAGCGGAACTTAATGACGATACATGGCAACACCTTCTCAAAAAAAATGCGCGAGGCTTCTGAAATAGCTAACAGCGCCCTGTGGCATGTCCGGTGGGCCACTGTCCAGCAGCTCTTGCCCTCAAAGACCTGCTGCGGTGGCTTCTTGAAGCAGCTGAACATGTTGAGGAGGTAGCGCTCGTGCAGGACGACGACGGCCGGGAGCCATGTGACCATCAGCACATAGTTCACCAGGATGGCAGTCCCGGCGTACACGCCGAAGCAGCGGATGGCAGTGATGTTGCTTACATAGTTGGCGTAGAAGGCGGCGGCTGTGGTGAAGCTGGTGACAAACATGGACAGTGCCGCATGCTGCAAAGTGATGCCCACCGTTTCCGCAGTCGCTGCGTGCGGCCGGTCGAACTTGGTGTAGCTCCACACGTCACATAGGACAAACGCATCGTCTGCACCAATTCCAACCAGAATAACAAGCGCGGTGAGGTTCATGAAAGGGAAGAACTCGAAGTTGAACACCACACGGTAGAGGAAATAGGAGACGATGAGGGAGCTGATGACGGCGAACATGGTCATCAGTGTGATGAACAGGGACCTGGTGTAGGCGCACATGACCAGGAGGACCAGCAGGACTGCGATGGCTGGGTAGGTGGTGTCCGTCAGCAGGTAGTCCTGGAACAGGCTGTGTTTGATGCCGAACTCAATGCCCGCCACAGTGGTAACACCGTCTGAGCCGTTCCAGTGCTCGAAGTTGTCCAGGTAGATGTCCATCATGCTCTCCCCCTTCTCTGTGGGAGAAAAGAGCATGCTGTACTTGAGAGCCGGCATGGCGGGGCTGGCCGCCTGTGCGGTCAGGAAGTCCTTGTCCACCAGGTAGTGCAGGATCTGGTAGACTGCGTTGTACTTGGTGCATTTGCGAGGCACACCCGTGCACTTGAGCTGCCCCTTTCTCCTGGCGCCTGCGTCCCAGCAGTCGGGCTCCAGGGTGCCGTTGTGGTAGTGCTTGGCGCATGCACGCACCAGCTTCAGGGTGTGAGACACGTCTCGCTCCACGATCTTCTGGCAGGACGACCTGTTGTTGAGGATGGCGATGTAGTTCCCCAGTGTCCAGCTGGGGCAGCAGGACGCGGCCGTGGTCCTCTGGCACAGGTCGCCAAACTGCGGGTGGGATCTAATCTACAGAGGGAGACATGCGGAGACCGGAGTTTACAAAGGCTTCACCCAGAGGCCTGAATTAAAGCGGCCTTGAGGGGCAGGTTAAATAGCTATCCTCCTAGTTAGGTGTCAGCTGGAAACAGGTGGCCGTCCCCCAGACCCGCCGGGCGCTTCCCTCCAGACAGCAAACTGCTCAGCGTGCAGGGGACCCAGAGCTGGCTTGGTTTTAAGGAGAACACAGAAGTAGTAGCTCTTTAGGAAACAGGCCTTTTCCAAGTTACTTTAAAAGGCAATGAAAAGGACAGGCTGTGGGCTCATGTATGGAAACTACAGGATTAATTTAAGAGAACAGTTGTCCAACTAATGGAGGAAACAAATTGGTGGCTTTGCCTAAAACTTCTGGTTATCGGCATGAAATTTTTGGTGACAAAGGTAATATATCTCAACCAACTTAGCTGGAAGCAAAGATGATATTCCCCCAGAAAGCTATCAGTGAGCCCCCAGGTAACATGGTGAGAACTGATGTCAGGGGTGCACGAGAGACCAGGGGTGAAACGGTTTCCTGAGAAATGAGCAGAACAGGGCAAGGTTCCTAAATTACAACAGTCTGCATATCTGATTATCAAAATACTTAGGTAGGAGTTGATTTCTTCCACTTCCTTCAAAACTTATTGGAGCTGGCTGAAACTCTCTGGGTTTTGGTGACGTGGGATCTGCTGCATGGTCGCCGTAGGATGGCTCTGGGTCTGGTGTGGATGGTGCCCTGCTTACAGCTGTTCCTGGAGGCCTTTCTTCTCTGGCTGCTCTTGTTACAGCGAACTGAAAAACGACTCCAATGCCAAGGGTGGGGTTGCTGGAATATGGCGAAGCCTTCACAATTCCGTACAAATATGTAACTGTGAGAGCAGCCCCTCTTGCCTGAGGCTGAGTTTAGGAACTACATCCAGAGCTTTTCTGTAGAAGGCAATCACTCATTTCTATTTACCAAAGGCTGCTCCAGGGAGGAGACTCCAAAGTTCAGAAAGGGCGTGAGTGTGTTTCCTCTGCCGTGATTAAACTGTTCTCTACCTTTATTAAAGCTGACTCTATCAATCATAGGGATCATTGGCACAAATAGTCTTTGGAACTTAGAATGATCCCAGAACCCTGTTCCCAGTACCCCTCGAAGGCCAGGCCGTCAAGCCGCTTCGGTGGGACCAGTCCTGGGGGCGGGTACAGAGGACAAAACACTGCCCGTGTACCCCAAGTGTCGGAGCTGGGCGACCTGCATGGGGGAGTCATTATACTAGTCTACCTCTGCATACATTTAAAAATTTCCATAATAAAGCATTTTAAAAGGGGACGCTTTTGAAGGTAAAGACAAATGAGCCAAAAGGGTTATTATTCAAGTATACTAAAATGTTTACTTTAACAAAGGCTTAATTTTCAGCTCATTTCTAAAAAGCAATAATTATTCGACATTCTATAACACAGGATGATTAATATTTAATTAAATTTAAAATAAATGTATTATATATTATTTAAAATAATTTATTTAATTTAAAATAAAATTAATAAAAATATTCACACATGCTAAATCGGGGGAAACGGAACCACCTAATAATAAGTAACAGAAAACCCTGGGATAGCACCGTTCTGGGTTTTGTGGCAGATAATCAGTTCCCATCCCACAAAGAAGTATCACACAAGTCCCTGGAGTCAGCCTGGTGAGTGAGAAGAAAGGGGATACAGCCTCAGCACTGGACAGTCTCAGAAGGAGGAAAATGATCGTGTCCGTTACAAAGCCCGCCAACAGCTTCACACCTGTAGTTGCCTGAAGAACCAAATGTTAATGGAAAGGGAACAGGGTTGCCAGCTGAAGCCTGGAAAGAAATGACTTCGAATAACCTTTTCAAATAGTAGCAGGGTTTGCATATGAGCATGACCAAAGATTAAAAAGTTAGACAAGATAAATGCAGACCAAAGGCATATCAAAACTAGAATCTAGTAAGCCATTGAGCGCCAGTCCTCCAGTTCGCAGGTATAGTTGGTTGATGTACCACCTTCCACACAGTCCTCGAGGACTCTGACAGAGTTAGAAACAAGGACAGAGAAAAGATGCTGTGACTGATACTTTTTACCCTGAGCTGGGTGTCAACACCTGAATCTAATGGAAGGGAGCCCCAGAGACTGTCTAGGCTCTCATGGAGGAAAGCCCTGTATTCTTATCCATCGATCCACCCACCCACCATCCATCCATCCATCCATCCATCCACCATCCACTTATCCATCCACCATCCACTTACCCATCCACCCATCCACCATCCATCCATTCACCTATCCACCCATCCACCCACCATCCACTTATCCATCCATCCACCATCTATCTACCTATCCATCCATCCATCCACCCACCAACCATCCAGCCACCATCTATCCACCTATCCATCCATCCACCCAACCATCCATCCACCTATCCATCCATCTACCCATCCACCATCCATCTACCCATCCATCCATCCACCTATTCATCCACCATCCATCCATCCATTTCTCCATATCCATCTCTCCATCCATGCACCATCCATCCAACTACCCATCCACCCATTCATTCACTCACATATCCACCCAGCCATCCATCCACCTATCCATCCATCCAGCATTCATCCCTCCATCCTTCCATCCTCACATCCATTTATCTATCCTAAAGAGAAAACAGAATTTACTGGGCACCTACACACAAAGAAGGGTAGGGGGGTACAGAGGTTCTTGCTCCAGAGCTGCTCACAGTGACAGAGAGAAATCAGGATTTAGTGTGGAAAGGAGCATACTGTGTGTCAGGGTCTGTGCGAACCTGCAAGGGGGTGCCCAAGTTTTTGGGTGATGGGATGGCGACACCAGCCTGGGGTATGCGACCAGGGTGGTGAGACACTCCGGCATTTGTTACATCACGGGGCTGGAAGAGATTGAGAGCAGGCACATCCTCACACAAAAGGTGTACTTTCTGCCACGTTGTTGCAAAAGAGATTTCACTGGAGTGATTTCAACATCTTTTAAGTTATCAAACTAAGAACAGCTAGTGGAAATAATTTCTTGTAGCTCATGAGAAAGTAGCCATTGCCATTCTAGTCAGTCATAGATTGGATGTTCTTGGGAACTGTCTTGTTGCTGTGGCTATAACATGTCTGTGTACACACCTGTTGCCTGACCGCAGCGGGGGTGAGGCTGATTTAGAAGCAGGGGGAAGCAAGAAAAGAGAGAAGAAGAAGAAACGAGCAGGGTTTTAAATGACACCTTAACTTTTAAAACTACTGGCAAAGTTGGCAAAAGTTGTAAAAGGCCGAGAACAGAGTGAGAATAAAGAATGTGCCCTACCATGGGATCCCATCCACTCTCCTCTCATGTGGCAAACCCCTCTTGTACTAAAGTTCAAGGGACCCAGGGGCCCCCCAGCCCTCTTTATGAGACTGATGTGCTACCTACTGCACTAACGAGGCACCTTCCCCAGCCCTCTTTAAAACAAGCATCAAGAGGCCCATTTTCTGGGATCCACTAAGCTTCAGGGGGTCTCATGTGTCCATAGAGCCTATGCAGTGAACACGATGGCAGGCACTAACTTTCAAATCTCCTCTTCAAAGCCTCTCCTTGAGTTCTAACTTCTATGAAGCGCAAAGACTAAGGAATAGGGAGAAGGGTTTCCAGCAGAGTCAAGATCTGAGAAACATACTCTGGAGGTCTGCCAGCACATCCCTGGGGAGGGAGATCTGGGGAGTCGGCTGAGCCTCCTGAGGACACAAGCATTCTCTGAGGAAGCACTCTGGAAACCAAAGCCCACTGGAACCATGAACTGAAATGGACTCAGGTTGGAGTTCCATGTGCTGTAAACACAGGCAGGTGACAATGGCCACATCTGGCCCGAGACGCCGTGCCGATCACCAGCTGCAGGTAAGCTCCTTTGCTTGGTATCACTTGCTGTGTGTCCCATCCCCTGATGGTGGCTGAGAGCCATGAGATCAGGGGAGGGGAAGGGATGGGACGGGCTGACCAGTAGCCTGGGGACACAGCTTGCTTGTGTTACTACCAGGCTAGACAGCACTCTGTAAAGGCTCTCGAGCTGGGAGACCCGGAATGGGTACAGTAATAATCTGCAGGCTGAACTGCTATGCATCAGTTGTCACTTAGGGTGTCAAGGGACACATTAACTCCTTTGTCAGAAGGTTATCGCTGGGCACTTGCTGCAGAGGCCAAGACTGGAAATAGAAAGGTGTGTGCAACTGGTAAAACAATATTGAACAAGTAAAATGATAACCTGCTCTGTGAGGCAGAATTCTGGGGCCCTGACCCTCTGTTTATTCATTTGTTGTTGTGGGTCTGTAACTGGCATGACCATTCAGGCAGACACGTTTTGCGACTGTTTCTCAACTTTTCAGAAGAGGACTGGGTGCCTGTCGTGTTCCCGCCAGGAATCACACACTCAATCAAACTCAGGGCCTTCACTGCTGACTCTGAGTCCACAGAGGGAAATACTCAGACAAGGGGGCACACTGCTCCCTCCACAGTCCATACATTTTGCAAATGCGATCAAGTCAGACCATTGGGAAGGCACACACTTAGACTTCATTGTTTAAATTTCTTACAAAAATACCTTTTGCCATAAGTTCTCCTGTGACCAGCCTGAGACGTGGCTTAGCAATCAGCTCAGATTCATGACTGCACGTCTCAACATGCTGTTAACTAAGAACTTTGTGCATGACATCACATTTCTTCTGCGGGGGGCCACGGAGATGGTGCTTCCCCTCGTTAGGACCGGGAAGACCAGTCTTCTTCTAAAACTGCAGCTTGTTGCCCTCTTTGTGACTTTTGTCACCGACTTCGAATTCCACTTTGCTCCGGTGGCCAGGGAAGGAGGGGACAGGTGAGCAGCCACCACCAGTGAGTGTGGGGGACTGTGGGCATGTATCACTGCATAGAAGTCACATGTGTGGCTTTACCTTTTCCTCCCATGGTTTTCCCTTCAATTTAGCCATTTTGCCTTCTCTGTAGTCCTTCCTATGAGCCACCTACTCATGCTGATTTTTATCATCTGATAGCATCTGATACATATTCACATGTGTACAAAATAATGTCCTGCTTCCATTCATGAAAGTGTCTACAAAGTGTCCACAGTGCTCATGGGCTTGATAGTCTCTGGGTCCATGCAGAGCCCAGCGGCACTCATAATCAGGCTGTTGCTCATTCCAGGCCACGAGGACTCTTTAAATCCTTTTATTTGCTTGTGTTCTGAATGCAGAAGTCCATGCCGAGGTTAAGAGGTAGATGGGGATTTGAACCCAGCCTTCCTTGAGTCTCTTTCCTGCCATGCATCACGTGCAGAAGACAACCACCCCCTTTCCCTTGTCTCGTTGTATCCTATATGCTATTTTCCACTCAGAGGATCCTCAATTCACAGCAACGTCAGGAGGACTAAATGAAATAACCCCGTCAAGTGTTTGAGACACACCCTGACAAATTCAAATTCAACAATACCCAACACCCAGCAGCTACTAATCAGCTGTGTGGATCCGGTGGCCCGAGAGCCTTTGCGGGAGGGAAGGTCTAAAGGTCAACAGCAAAGGTAGGGAATCAAGGCCTAGAAGGTGTGGAATTCCTGAATCGTTCTGTTGAGTGTGGTCAGCATGTCACCGTCTGTGAAGTCGCATCACAAGTGCCAAGGTCAGAGGCTGACTACAGGGAGGGGTGAGAATGCCGAGCGGGAAGTCCTGCAGATAAAAACGGACCAGTGGTTAAGAACCTCGATTTGTGTGGGGAGATTGGTGACTTTGGCCTGTTTGAACTGGGCAGAGAAAAGATGGTGCTCACGGAAAATCCTAATAGCTGGGCCGGCAGACAACACAGAGTCTTTCAGAATAAGGAATAAAGTCAGGAGGCCTGGGACCCAAGGGGGGAGCCCCAGCCTGCTTCCCCGAGAAGCCCTGTGGCCAGCCCAGGGCCCTGCACCAGGGGTCAGTCTAGCTCTCAGGAGGGCATATGATGACACTTCCTGCTATTAGTGAGTTTCCACGTTAGAGTCACACTAGGCATACAACCAGCTCCTCTTCTGCCTGGTTCCTGAGCTTGGGTAGGTGCAGCAGTGACAGCAGACAGCAAACTCTCCTGGGAGAATACACCTCTGAGCACACAGAACTGACACGTCATCCAGGCCTGGAGGCCGATGTCACAGTTTCTGGGGCTGACGTCTTCTGGCTCCAGAGACTGAGGATGGACGGCTTTTTGTTTTGAATCCTCTGTCTTCAAGATATTCAGAGTTCAGGACAATCTGGGCTGGATTCCTCATCATTTACAGAGACACCTACACCCCTGGATGTCCCCTTTCCCATCCTGGGCCCTAAATCTGCCCCAGATACCCACTGTTGCCATTGGTTGTTCACTGTGGAGTGGAAATGCTGACAGTGGCCTCAGGAGGAGACACGGCAACTAGCTTTGGAGAGACAGCACCCAAGAGAAGAAAAGACCAAGTCTGAGCTGTGAGATGGGGCAGTGGCAAGGAAAGTGCTCTTTGCTGAAGAAGGCAGCAAGTGTCAAAGATGGGGCCAGGTGGAGGTGCTCAGATCCTGGGGTCTACAAGTATTCGAGCTGGCCCCGGGCGTGTGGTCCCCAGGAGTGAGGCCTAAGTAAGTACTGTCATTCCACAAGTCACTAGGGTCAGCAGGGAACAGACTGGCAAAAATATAACCTTATTTTTTCTCAACACATTTTCAGTTTTTCTTTACATACCCTTGAATTATCTACATTGCACATTGATTTAATGGCAGGTAAATTCCATAGTGTCTCCCCTCCAGCTGAAGTAAATACTACTCTGGAATATCGGTCACCTGGTGACATGAAAAAGAAAAGAAAAAGGTTTATAATTGTCCATTTTTTTCATCAGATTCAGCATTCAGGAGCAACTCAGAGTGGGGAAGCAGTGGGACAAGACGTTAACAGCAGGAAGTCTTTCCTTGATAAATTCCAGGAGGAAAAAAATAAAGCAATGCTATAATATTGTTTCTGCTCACAGCCTTTGTCTACTCACAACATCTGAAAACTCGTAGGCATTATATAACATCCATTTCTGATCAGACTGTGATTAGGAACAGTAATCTATAAGAACTCTCAGCACAAAATTAACTGAATGCCTCCCTCTAAATTTTGAAACATGTCACCAGAATGGGGTGTAAAACCCAAGAAGGATCCATTAGGAGATATCAAGAGTGGGTGTTCTCTTGGGCAGCTAACCAGGGAGGAAAGAGAGCAGGTAATCGTTTTAAAAGCACTAAAAACAGTCAACCAGATATCAAACGAGGGCCAGGGTTGCAGACATATTCCACGTTCTGGCTGGGTCCATGGTCTCTGGGCCACCAGAGTCTAGAATAAATACATTATAATCACACTAACACAGGCCGGCTGTGGGACAGGCAAACCCAGCCCTGGGGTCAGAAGCGGTGGAACCAGGTCCTGCCTCGCCCCAGCTCTGGCGATGAGGAGCTCCTCTGACCCCTCGTCTCTTGTTTGAAAGCACATCTCTCTCAAACAAGTGTGAAAACTAAAGGAAAAACAGCGGGTCAGTTAGTGCTGTTTCTGCTCCTTCTGCAATTAGAAGAACTTCATATGATAAAACAGAGTGAACCCACTTTCTGTTATCTAAAATGCCTAATAGTGATGACAAAGAAAACCAATCTGCAAATTTATGAATAAAGCTTTATTACGTGAGCTTTTATTCATGATTATGAAGTTTTCTTTTATAAACCCTTTTCTTCATTAAATGGCCATTATCTATGTTGACTGATTTCGAAGAGTGAAACAAACCCATGCAAACAAAGGACAGAATTCTCCTTAATTACCTACTTTCATCTCTCGGTTACTATACAGTGAAAGAGACCCTCGGCTAGCTCTAGAAACATCAGGAGGTCCAGTGAGGTCCTCTAACGAGACAGGAAAATACACATTTTAGGGGGATTTTCAACAACAATTTTAAAAAGCTGCATTAAAAAAAGCACTGGTAAGAAGATTCACTGACGGAGAGGCTGCAGGTCCTCACGCCTGCTCTCCATGGCTAAGCAGCCAGCTCCCCATGCACTGGTGTCCCCGAGGCTGTGATCTATGCCACAGCAGATGCTGGTTATTCAACCTGCTGCCAGTGTCTGGAGACCTAGCGATGCTACATTAAAATCTGGATTTCTGACCTCAGGGAAGTTCTTATACATCCGGGCCCTCATGCCTGCAAGGCCACATTCTGTGGAGCTAGGTAGCAGCAATTTGCGCTCCATAACATGATGTCATATCCCACTGTCTGATGCATTCACGTGACAGGCTGGTCCCTGAGGCACTCCAGCTGTGGGCCTCTGGACCATATTCTGTTCATCTTTCTATCTCTAATGCCTAAGGCACAGAGAAGGCTATTATATATGCTTCTGAATGAAAACAAAACTTAAGTATATTTCTGATAATATAGTAGATTATTTTAGAGTTTAATCCAAAAATATGTACTTGTTATCGCACTGAGAATATTTTTAAAAAATAATTTAATACATTTAAATGATAAGAAATTTGGTGCCAGGTCAAGTTTTTTTTTGATATTTTTTATCTTCCTTAGAACTGAATCTAACTCAATACTCTCATTAATTTTTATTATAGGTAAATAAATTCAGATTAGTGGTTGACTGACCTTGAGAAGAAAAACTAACGGCTAATATCTGTGTCAGTGCCCAGCATCTCCACCCACTAGTCTTGATTTACTCATGCTCCATCTCGAGTACAAGGAGCCCCAAGGGGCTGTTCACCTAGGATGCCACTCACTCGGAACGTCACAGAAAAAGCTGTCTTTGTGGAAGTTCCAGTCAACTTCTCTTTTCTCTCTTTCATAGTGATCATCCGACCATCTATCATCCCGATGGCTGAAATGGAACAACAATGTGATCTTCAATAAAGCACTTGTGATAGCATAGGGAATGTAGTCAACAATGTCGTAATAGCATTGCAGGGTGGCAGAGGAGGTGAGCACGGTGTAGGGTGCAGACTTGTTGAATTGCTCTTACATATCCGAAGCTAAATTATGTGTGTCCACCACAATGCAATCATAAAAACGTAAAAATAAATAAAGTACTAGTTTTTTAAGGCCAATAAGGATACCAGTAATGGTGTACCACAGCCATGACCTAATTGAAATTAAAAGGATTGGGACGCCTGGGTGGCTCAGTCATTAGGTGTCTGCCTTTGGCTCAGGTTGTGATACCAGGGTCCTGCGATAGAGTCTCGCATCGGGCTCCCCACTCAGCCGGAAGCTTGCTTCTCCCTCTCCCACTCCCCCTTCTTGTAATCCCTCTCTTACTGTCTTTCTCTCTCTGTGTCAAATAAATAAATAAAATCTTTAAAAAAAAATTAAAAAGGATTAATATAAGCAACCAACATTAATTTTCTCACTTCTGTAAAAGAAAAAAAAACCTAAATCCTCCTTTTTTTTTTTTTTTACCTTAATACAACAAAATCTTAAAAGACAACAAAAATGTAAACCAATTCAGTGGCAAAGGATTTTGAGCCACACACTGGCATTTAATCATCTTGCTTAGGCAATCCTTACCAGCGGAATTTATCAAGTAATGTTTTGGGTAAAAATTAATAAATAATTACCTTTTGGCTTGTTCATCTGCATATTTAAAAGGATAATTTGCTAATGTTGCTTTGTATCCTGTATTTTTCACCATGTTATTCCACGTGACCAGTCTCTGGCCTATTGTAGTCCCTCTTGGCTCAAAACCCTGAGACAAAATATTACAAATTCCCATTAGTGCATTTCTCTTCAGGCTATGAATGGTTACAGCAGTTTGGGAAAGCAATGCTGGGGCAACACGTGGTTTTCAACAGAAACACAGACGCTCCTCGCACTGCCCCGGGAATGGACAATACTGAGCAAGACGGCAGCTGCTGTTCACCATGACCAGGCAGTTTGGTTCTCTGGTGGGTGACCCGTCTCAGCAAAGAGGAATAACCATATCTGGAGCTTCTCTTCCAAAATCATACCTAAGCAATTAGCAAATACTCACTTTGATGTTATAAAAAATTAAGGTGTAATTGAATTATGACATGCACGTTACAGTGTTTTATGGGAACACTTACTTAAAAACAGACCCTGCTATCTCTTAGTAAAATTGAAATTCCTTTCACTTTTCGGGGGGGGGGGGAATAAAAAGAGACATTCAGTCTTAAAGACTTTATGAAAATACTTTTATGTAATGCAGATTCTCCATTTTATTGCTTTTTAGCTTAAACGTGGGAGCCAAGAAGCAAAATTTCCAGGTCTGTAATGGTGAGCAAGTTCCTTGACTTTTTAAAAACCTGAAAATAGGATGACAAGGGTTTACTTTTCAGAAAGAGAGCTGCATACTCCTCCTGATGGCTTGAGAAGGTTTGGTTAAGCGGCTGCCTTCGGCTCAGGTCATGACCCCAGCGTCCTGGGATCGAGTCCCACATCGGGCTCCTTGCTCAGCAGGGAACCTGCTTCTCCCTCTGCCTCTGCCTGCCTCTCTGTCTGCCTGTGCTCGCTCACTCTCTCTCCCTCTGTCCCTTACAAATAAATAAATAAAATCTTTAAAAAAAAAAAAAGAAATGGGATACTAAATTACACAATGTTACATGTTTTAAAATACTGAATTTCTTGAGATAACTGTGGGCTACAGCAATTTGATGGGCTGAATTGTCCTTACCAGCAGTGGATCAGAAAAGTCAGGAAGCTCAGGCACTAACACCCCAACCAAGGCGCAGATGACGATGAACACAGTGCACATACCCAGCACCACCACGGGCCAGTCAGCTATCAGGGACGCGTAGCTGCAGAGCAGAGAGGAGCACACAGGAGGCCACTTAGAAGCAATAGAGGCTTTGCTGCCTGAGAGAGCAATGTGTTAAATCCTCCTTGTTCAGACCTAGTCCCGGAGTTTATCAATCAAAGATGCAGAGAGATGATAAGACAGACAGCATTTTACATCTACGTCTGTTCCTGGAGAGATCACCAATCTACACCCTCGCGTGGGGTGAGAACATACTGGAACCCAGGACCCATCCTCCTACAGCCTCTTCTGGAACTTGTTTCACCATCCTTGTACTCTGGCAGTTCTCAGAGAGCTCAGCCCACAAAGAGGCTCATGTATCCATCTTCAGAATAACCAAACCAAACCCAAAACTTCCCACAAACCTACCACTTTCCTTCCAGCTGGAACTATAACGAACATGTCAGCCTCAGTTCCAGGAGAGAGAGATACCTGTTTTCTGAATTCATTTAGTGTCATATTGGCACCTGGACCAGCACCTTTTGGAAGGCGCCCCATGAGTACCTGTCCCTCCCTTCACTCTCCAACCAACCTCAGCAGCTGCGTGTCGGTTTCCCCTCCCTGTCACCAACCCTGCCCCAGGTCGGAGTCATTTCTTCCAGGCGTCCCTCCCTTCTGTAAGATCCTGGGTCTTACTGTAGTGACACATGCAGATCTTGATATGAGCTCTGTGCTGAACAGAAGTTGATGGAACAGAATTCTTCAAAAAATTAAAAAATCTTGTCAACTTCAGGTTTCTTGAATTTTTATTAGAGAAAAAAGAAGCATTTCACTTGTGGACAATTACTTTCAAATCCTTGACAATATTAGCTCACTTGACTGCTATGATGGCTGTTTCTGGCTCCTTACTCCTATGTGTCTGGGTTATTTCTTTAAAGTCAGACCAAGGATTTAATGAAGCTGGAGGCTCTAAACGTCACTCAGAAAAGCTGCTGTTTGTCTCCAAGACAAGGTTGCTTGTGTTTCCATTCTGATCACGCAACACCACGGATCTGGCTTTCTGTTGGTATTGACTTCAAATGAAATTTTAACACGGAAATTAAAATACAGCATAATTCTGCTTTAAGGGAACACTTGCATAAGGATTTTTCAGTGTTGTTCTTCTCAAGGTCGTCTCAGGAGCAGGAAGAATGATCGGTTGCACTTACCAGTGGCTCCTACGTGTCACACGTCACCTCACTTAATTCTCACAGCTTTTTGAGATGCGCAGCAGCACAGTTGGGATCTGTGCTCTGAGTCACGGAGCTGGGCCAGCAGGCTGACTACTGTTGGCAACACCAGACTGCACATGTGAAAGGGCCTGAGAGAGAAGATCGTAACAGGCCTCATCACAAGAAAACAAAATTCTCTACCTCTGTGTGATGGCAGATACAATGCAGACTTGCTGTGGTGAACGTTTCATAACACATACAAATACTGAGCTGCCATGTGGGGCGCCCGAAGCTAACATAATGCTCTATGTCAGTTGTAGCTCAATAACAAAGTCACAAATAGGAACCCCAGCCATCTGGCTCTAGAGAGGGGCCTCCTAACCACCATGATATTGTCTCTTGCTCCAAACACGAGAGAGACAAAACACATCAGGACTAAGTCCACTGCCACAAGAGTGTGCACCCCCAAATTCACATTTTACACTGAATATCTAAGCCACACTAACAGTTTATTTCATGATGCAAAACCACTGAGATCCATAGGCCCCCAAGTCTGAGCATTACTCTCAAGCCTGCAAATTCTGAATTTAACAACTCACTCTGGAAAAATTATGCCAGCTAAGATGGATAATCCTTGGAACATAATTCTGAATGTAATGAAAACATATAAATCATGGAGGCTGATTTGGCTTGCTCAAAGGTACACACTGTTTCCAGAACACGCCCAGTGCTGATAGTCTCCCCGGACTCTGTTTCCTCCTCCGCCAAATGCAAACTCAGGATGAAAGCAACCAGTGTGGAAGCAATCTAGTCCTTTGTCAACAGCACACTTGAGACTTTCTGTTCTTGGCTTCAGCCTTAACAAGAGTTCTTTACATTTTAGATCTTTAAAATATCAGCTCTGTGAAATGAAAATGGCCCCAGGCTTAGACAATTACTCCCTATACTTTGGACCAATCTCCTTGCAAATGGGCCATAAATTCTGTATTCTTACCTACAAACACATTAACAGCAGGGGACACTGGGCCCGGAAGTGCTTCGTTTTCTCTCCGTGGGTCAGTTTCCCCAGATGACTTCTTGTTTTGTGTTCTTGAAAAGTCTGCACACGCACGCAACCTGAACACCCCTTTCAATCGTTGCTTTTTTCCCCTTGAGCACACTGGGGTTTGATTTTCCTGTCCTAGGCCATGTGTGTGCATGGACTGCACATGGAAACTTCATGGTGTTAGTGATGGCCGTATGCTTCTTCCAAACCTGCTCCAACTCCAAAGGGCACTCCAACTCCCTCCTCCTGCAGCGAGTGTCTCACAGGCGAAGCTCTCCTGAGATACTGTTCACACTTCTTGGAGTCACCCCACTGAGCACTGCGGGGCGACATCCACAAGGGTCTCTCCTCGATACCTCGTGATGGCTGCCTGCACTGGATATTGCTTAGCCATGGGAACCACGTGAGAAACACAAGTCACATGTACAATATGAAACCCAGACAATGTTGTAATACTAAGATAAAAATCTAATAAAGCAGGAAAACCGGAGAAGCAAAGGAAATTAAATATGGCCTATAAATGTCACCGTTACATTTTTCACTAATCCCACTCCTGATGAGCCTGGGTTCAAAGCCTGTATGGTACCTAAGTAAAAAGAATATAGTATTTGTGCGTTATGTTTCTGAGAAATGAACCACATGTGTGGGAAAGATGTGTCAAAAGGCCCACTGCTTTGACTGTGATACCTCCTCCTGCTTTCACGTAGTCCTGTCCTGCTTGTGCCCACTCTCGTTCTGGAAACTTCCAGATGCTACCACAGTGTAACTGCGGATGCCACTGGCCTCTGTACCTCAGCGTTTCCCAGCTGGTGACCGGGAGGAGTTCTCTGGGAGGCCCTGCAGGATGCTAAGTCCCAGAGAAGACACAGATCGGAGGCACTTGTCCCTTCTACAGGACAGGGACACGTATTGCGGCTGAGCTGGGGATCCATGCAGGCATGCAGCCGGCTTCCTGGCTCAGGCTGTCACCCACATGGCAGTTTGCACAAGTATCCTGCCTCACGCTCAGAGATCCTGAAGTAACTATCCCAACAAATTCATGAAGTGTCTTTCAGGGTTAACCTTTGCTTGGGGCCATGGTGTAGGGGCTGGTTCTAAATGGGCCATTTGTACCACAATGGGCCTCCACAAGGTATTTTCCTCTCTTAGCTCACAAAGCTGTTTTCCTCTGCCCTTCCTGGCCTCTCTAGAAACAGGCTCTCCTTTCTCCCTTACCTCTGAGCAGAAATCAGGGTTTCACACAGTCTGAGTGCCCTGGACCCAGGCCCCCCTTCCCGACTGAATACCCTACCCATAACCCCTTGCAGCCCGGCTGCACTCTCTCGAACCTGCCAAAGCCAACAGACTAGTCCTCTTTTTGGTTTCCATTCGCCCTCAACTGAGCGGTATTTGACACTTCAGTTATTTAACACTTTTGCGGTATTTAACACTTTCTTCCTGAAAATCTCTTTTTCCTTGTTTTTCTTTTCCCTTCTATTTCTCTTAACCATTCCTTATTTCTCTTGTCCCTTAAGGGCAAGCATTTCAAAATGTTATTAATCATAGTTTTCCTAGTGACATCAGCTATCAATTTAATGAGAGGACTGACTGAAACTTGTGGAATTTCCCAGAAGAACACAGGATACAGAATTCTCTCTTTGTTTGGAAGTAACAAAGTCAATGCTGTTAGCGTCACAGAATAAGGGCGCAGGTGTCAAGGAGTAAAAACATGGCAGATGCAAACCTCACCCTTAAGGGACGCAGAACCTGATACAGAAAATCGGACAACTTTACAAATACTTACAAAACCAAGTAAAGAAGTATGTGTTTTTAGAGGGATACAGATAAATATTTGTGAATTCAACAGAGATTACTTTCAGCTAGTGGAAGGGAATCAGAAAAGGCTTTTTTGAAGAAGTTGTATTTGTATGTGCAGGTACTGAAAAGAAGACATAAGGACTTGTAAAAATACCAATCTAATAAAAGAAAAAACACGAATGAATGTCCTCAAAATGCAAAACTCATAGTCACTACAGAGGGCTCTATTATTTGTAGAAAAATGGAAATTCATTTCCTAACATGCCATATTTAGTTCTATAAACTCTTCCTTAGATAAACAGTCTATCCAGACAATGGACGGTCATTCAGCCTTTGGAAGGAAGGACATTCTGCCACTGCATAGATGAGCATGGAGGGCATCCTGCTGAGTGACATGGGCCAGTCCCAACAGGGTAGAAACCATGGGGCTGCACTCACGGGAGGTGTCAGCGGGGTCCCTTTCATAGAGGTGGAAAGTAGACAGTGGCACCGGCAGCTGGGGGAGGGAGGAATGGGCAGCTGCTATTTAATGGGGGCAGAGTCTCTGCTCTGCAGGGCAAAGGCAGTTCTGGAGTTGACCATGGCCATGGCCCACAGTGACTTGAACTTGGAGCCACAGAGCTGTGAACTTGCACACAGTTAAAATGGCAGATTTTATATACTATTTTAGCACAATTTTTAAAAATAAATAATTTTTAAATGCAAAGAGAATTTACAAATGAAAATTTATGTAGTAATTCTACTCAAAAGAGAGGATAAGGCTTTGGTCATCAGTGCTTCCCTAGCAGGTGAGTTTCAAAGACTGCATAGTCACCTACATCTAGAACCACCACCTACAAGCACATCACCAGGCTTTTTAAAAGAAACACTTACCCATTTAACATTCTGCTTTTTGACTGAAAAGATAAAGCTTCAAAATTTCCACATGAAAGAATACCTCCATTTTAATATGGTAACCACATTTTGGGGAAGAAACACAGACAACCCATCTGGAACAAAGGGCTACAAACTCAACTCCTGGCAGACGGAAGAACAGTGATTCTGTCCTTGGCAAGTAAGAAAAGAAGGAAGGGACCCATGGAAGGAGCCAATGTAGATGGTTAAACACAAACAGAATCTAAAGACTAAACTTCTACCTTCAGGTCAAACTTCCTTTGGGAGTGAGGATTACTCAATCAGCCAAGTCAGGGGAAATGTACTTTTCCTTCATAAAAATATGAATGAGGAAGGCAGAAACAGCAGCAACATGTGAACAAAGGATTGAAGAGGAAAGTATGCAAGTAACTTCATCATTTAAGGAGATGATACAGCTTACTTTACCTTCTTGGTAATTTGAAAGGTCTGCACGGTCTGAAAAAAAAGCAGAGGAAAAGCAGTCAGAAACAGGACATCATAACATGAAGGATTTTTATGTGCACTTGGCATTGTGTGAAGGCACAAGGTGGAGATGAAGGTGGAGATGCAGGTGGAGTCCCCACGCACTGGGCGGGGGGAGGGGGCGGGCAGGGAAAGGGGAGGGTGTCAGAGCAGCTGCCCAGGACGCGGACATATAAATGGATGACTTGACAACTGAATTAAATGACATAATTACAAGAAAAGGCACAGCCGGCACGCACAGGCTGGATAAGCACACTCGTCAGATGCTAGGGGCAGAGGCGTGTGGATGCCACAGACCCGAGGGCACAGTGGGAAGGAGCGACACCATGGAGTCAGTGAAGAGCTCAAAAGGGGCTTTCATTCAAAACAGCTACTACTCAAGAAGTTATGAAGAATATTTAATCTGGAGGGTAAATCTACTCAAAAAGCAAAACACCATATTTTCATTATAATTACATATTCATTTTTTAACCTTTATTGAGATATAATTCATAAACCATTCAATTAGTCCATTGAAAGTGTACTGGTGGCTGGTGGCTTTTAGTGCCTCCACACACTGGTTTTTAAAGAACATGCTACCTGAACACCAGTGATGAAGCTTCTCTTGAGCCTGAAGAGAAAAACCACTTTTACAGAGTGGGAGAGTAAGGCACTGAACAAAGAAGCAAATCACTTGTACCCGAACCCTTAGTATTTTACTCACAGTGTTCAAATCATACATCCTCAAAACGACCTCCTGAACCCAACAGACTTTGTTGTCTCTAGGTCTAGAGCGACCCTCAGAGCCACGACTCTGGGACAGATAGTACTCAGCAGTTGCAAAGAAATGATAATTCATTCTATAGATTTTGGGTCATAACAAATGTAAATTTTTTCTCTCCTCCTACTCACCCCCACTAACTTCTTTTTTTAACAGATAGATTCATGGATCTATGAATGCCTCTTCCTAGAGGCAGAAACACCCACAGACTCCTCACATTCTTTCTGCTTAAATAAAGACTTTATTCTGTGTGATATTTAGGGAAGTAGAGATGGTCAGATCCATTGTATAAGGAAAACGGGTTACCACCAAGATACCTCGTGGGAACACATGAAATCCCTTTGACACAACAAATGGATGTGTGAAATGATATGACAACAGGCAGACAGGAGACCCATCTGATTTCGCCATCGGTGATGGTTCCTTGGCCACCTCTCACTACAGGGCACCTGCAGAGGAGGCCAGCAAGGCATTCCCTGCACTTCCATCCACTAGAAGCTGTCTTCCTCCATCTGTAAAATCCTTCCAATTTGCTTTTAATCTGTACCTAATACAACCTGCAGGATGAGTTTCATCTAACCTCAGTCTTGTGTTGTTAAATAACAATTCTAAAAACAAGCAAATCTAACCTCTATTACAGAGCAAAATAGTCTTTTCCAGAATTCATTCACCTTTAATACCATGTAAACTCAAAGCCAAAACCAAACAAACAGAAATAATCTCAGGTGGGAATACCTGCCTGTTCTTTGGTTAGGTTTTAGCCTCTTTTAATGGGATAAAAAAACCCAAAGCAGACGGCATTTGCTCAGTGACAGAGTCCCAGGGATGAGATTGGGTTGTGTGCCATTCCCAGAGGACCAGTTCCAGAATGCATTTTTGTACACGAGTGGGTGACAAAAACATCATTATAGGCAAAGCTCCAATCTTCATAAGAAAGCACTTTGTAACTTTGTCAGTCGGGTCCTGGCAATTAGGAGTAAGCTGCTGGGCACCTCACACCTGAGAACAAGAACAGTTGGGGACTGTGGCTCCAGGACCCTGATGGCAGTGAATTGTGCTGTGTGCACATCGCTCGGTCAAGGGCACAACTAAGGAGCCTGCAAAGTCCTCAGGAAGGGAGCACGGAGGTACGGAGTGGGGTTATCTCCATGATGGGGATGAGGCAGATAGAGAGGCAAGGGAAGTCTTTAAAAAGGCAATAGAAAAAAAGAAGTATGAGAGGAAAGTTAACAAGAAAGAAAAAATGTAGAAGAGCTATAAAGGGTGTTTGTTTCCCTTGTGTTTTCTCTTTTGTAACAATGTCTGGGGATAGAGTAGGAGATTGCAGGGTGAGGGAAAGGAGATTAGGAAACCATAAACCTGCCACCCACCCATCTAGATTGCTCCTGTTGACAAAGTTCCAGAATTAATATCACAACTTACAAAGAGACAGTGTCGGGCTTCACAAATTCTAAGTCATTCTTTTTAGTGGTTGGGAACATCAAAGCCATGGGGGAAAACCGCATTATTTCTTTATACTTTTTCTTATTTATTTTTTAAGTTAAAGTGTAGCTGACACAGGCTGTGATGTTAGTGTCAGGCATGTGACATGGTGACATGACAAGTGTGTGCGTTATGCTGCAGTCACACGAGTGTGGCTACCATCTGTCACTACTCTTCACTATGACAACAGCACTGACTGTGTTCCTGTGCTGTGCCATCCCTCCTGGGACTTACTCATCCCATTCCTGGAAGCCGGACCTCCCTCTCCCCATCATCCATCCCTCTCCTTCCTACCCTCTGCAACCAGCTCTGTTTCTGCTCTTGTTTGTTTTGTGTTTTAGACTCCACATATGAGTGAAATCATATGATAATTGCCTTTCTCTGTCTGACTTATGTCATTTAGTATAATACCCTCTGGTCCATCCATGTTGTTACAAATGGAAAGATTTCACCCTTTTTTATAGCTAAGTAATATTCCAGTGTGTGCGTGTGTGTGTGTGCGCGCGCGCGTGCACACATACCAACCACATTTTCTTTTTTAAATTATTTTTTAAAACTGCAGTATTTTATTTATTTTTTTGAGTAATCTCTACACCCAATGTGGGGCTTGAACTGAGAACCCTGAGGTCAAGAGTCTTAAGAGTCATATGTCCTACTGACTGAGCCAGCCAGGAGCCCCACTACCACATCTTCTTTATCCATTCATCACGGATGGACACTTGGGCTCTTCTGTATCCTGGCTGCTGTAGATAATGCTGTGATAAACATGGTATGCATGTTTCCTTCCAAATCAGTGTTTTCATTTGCTTTGGATAAATACCCAGCAGTGCCATTACTGGATCGTAGGGGAGCTCTATTTTGAACTTTCTGAGGAACCTCCATACTGTTTCCCACAGAGGCTGTGCCAGTTTGCATTCCCACCAACAGTGCATGATGGCTCCCCTTTCTCTGCATCCTGACCAGCAACTGGTGTTCCTGGTGTTGTTGATTTTAGCCAACCTGACAGGTGTGAGGTGATCACTCACTGTGGTTTTGATTGGTATTGCCTTGATGACCAGTGATGTTGAGCATCTTCTCATGTTGGCCATTTGGATGTCTTCTTTGGAAAAAGGTCTATTCAGGTCCTCTGTCCCATTTTTTAACTGAATTATTTGGGATTTTCTTGGTATTGAGTTGTGTAAGTTCTTCATACATTTTGGATATTAAGCCCTTATTAAGCTTAATGGATATTAATGGGTATTAATATCCATTAATTATTAATAATTAAAATGGATATTAAGCCCTAATGGTATTAGATATACCATTTGTGAATATCTTCTCCTGTTTAATAGATGGCCTTATCATTTTGTTGATGGTTTCCTTTGCTGGCAAAGCTAAAAGGCAAAGCTAAAAAGGCAAAAGCTTTTTACTTTGGTATAATGCTAATAGTTTACTTTTGCTTTTATTTCCCTTGCCTCGGGGCAAGGGAACATATCTAGAAAAATGTTGCTAATGCTGATGTCAAAGAATTTCCTGCTAATGGTTTCTTTTAGGATTTTTATGGTTTCAGGTCTCACATTTAGGTCTGTAATCCATTTTGAGTTTATCTTTGTGTATGGTGTCAGAAAGTGGTCCAGTTTCATTCTTCCTCATGCAGCTGTCCAGTTTTTCCAACATCATTTGTTGAAGAGACTGTCTTTTCCCCATCAGATATTCTTGTTTCTGTTGTCAAAGGCTAATTTAACCATTTAAGCCTGGGCTTACTTCTGGGTTCTCCATTCTGTTCCATTCCTCCTTTTTGAAAAAACTGACGTATAACTAACATATAATATTAGTTTCAGGAGTACAACCTAATGATCAATATTTGGATTCACTGAACAATGATCCAAAGTCTGGTTAACACTGACATAGCTTTGTATATTTCTGAAGAGTGAAAATGCTTTGAAGGAAATATACTTTCTGCTTCGTGGCTGTAGTCAAATTTAAGTAAGAAAGTGCCTAAAGTAGCACGTTTTTGTCTCAATTGTCCCACTGGATTGCACCATATTGCCTTTTTGTAAAAGAGGGCAGTTTGCAAATAGTAACTTTTCAGTTCAGCACTGGTATGTGAGGAAGAAAGTACCTTAAAGTAAAGAATCCACACCCTGATGAGTGTTCTTGAAAGATTTCTCCAACAAAAGCAAAAGCATTCTTTGTCCTCCAGTGTTTGCACAGATCATCTCAGGGACCCTCGGGTGCTTTGAGAAGATGAAACAAGCACCCTGGACGTTCATGTACCAGAGGTGGGTGTGCTGGGGTGATGCACTTCCAGAATGCTTGCAGACGTCCACTCCATACGGGTCATTTTGCATCTGGAGTTGTTACTACCAAGGAGCTCCAGCTACCACACGAAGCACAAAATGAACCATGTGGGCAGACGAAAGGGCCGGCAGTGGAGGACTGCCGTTTAAAGAGCATCTCACAAACACAAGCACTTTATAAATATTAACAAAGACATTCAGTACATATTAAATGCTTGAGTATGAGGAAATTGTCTTTTTTTAAAAAGATTTTCTTTCTTTCAGAGAGAGAGTGGGGAGAGGCAGAGGGAGGGAGAATCTCAAGCAGACTCTGTGCTGAGCGCAGAGCTTGACACAGGACTCGATCTCGCAAGCCTGAGATCATGACCTCAGATCAAGACCAGGAGTCTGATGCTCAACCAACTGAGCCGCACAGGCTCGGTCCCCTAAATATGTAAATGTATTAAAAAAAT